AAAAGAACTGAAGAACTGAAGGCCCCTTAGATACAGCTTATCTCTATGTCTAATTAGATAGACTCTAATTCAGTCTCCTCAATGCACAGGTGAGGAAACTGAGGCCTGGGGTGGTCACAAGGCTGGTTGGTCATCACAGACCAATGACTAAGGGTTGATCTCTTGACTTTACATCTAGCCAGTGCATGACTTATTTCACTCCAAGCTTAGTTAGCTCATTCTCAGTGTTTTAAGTTCTATGGCAGTCCAGAGAGATTGGGAGGACAGATTTTGGTGCCTAAGTGCCTGGATCCTAGCCCTGCCTCTTACTGGCTGTGCAACCTTGGGCAAGCTACCTAACCTCTCTGTGCCTCTGTTTCCTCATCTCTAAAACAGAAATAATAATGATATATTAGAAGGTTGTTTTGAGTTACTATACCTGAAGCATTTAGAACAGTACCTGACACAGGGTAAGCACTATAGATTTGCTAGATATGATATTCTTTTTCCTTTTTATATATAATTTTTCATATCCACCACCCAGTATTTCCTATCAGGAGCTAATTTTCCCCCCAGCCCCCTTCCCCCAACCCCCCAATTCATTGAACATATTCCAGATTTCATTTTAACACAGACATCTGCAGGGGTTCCCAAGTCAGGTTGCATTTTATATCTTACTTATTTTTCTGATTCAGGTAATTCAGTTTCTATGTAAGCTCCCCCCTTGCAGTTACATTCTTCTTAGTCTCTGAACCTTTTAAAATTCTTCTTAAAAGCAGGCAGTGAGTGGGGTGGGAATCCCTCGAAATGGTGAAGTCCGGGATGATACCAGTGTCTGTGGTGTCCTTCCAAATATGTATTCCCTCTCTTCAGCCCTCCTCCCCAGTGATCAGTGTGATGCAGCTTGATTCTAAATAGATGAACATTTTTAGATTAAGATTTTATGAGCCACCGTATTAAGTGCTTTCCGGAAGTTCAGGGATCGTGTGTCAACCGCATTTAAGCAAGTTACTTAGTCATTCGAGTAGGGGGAGCACCAGCAGCGCCTGCCTGGCCTGGCAGAAGCACAAGTGTGTGACTGATCCATGCTGGCAATCTAGCTTGTTCACTGGTTTATCTGCGTTTTTCCTGTTCTTTTCCGGAGCTTGAAATAAACCAGACAGCAAGTACAATGGAATGGTCTTTTTCCTCTAATTTTATGGGGATCATTGGCTTCCTTCCGTCTTTACTTTCACCTTCATTTCCTTTATCGCCTTCACGGGTCTGACAAATAGCTACTATCACTGTGCCGGCCAGTTCCCTTTTGATGAAAAGATGCCTGCCACTTCCAGTTTTTGCAGGAATCCAGTCAGTCACCTTTGATTTTTCTCTTCTGTTTTTACTTGTTTTCTAGATTGAACCCAGATTATTACTTCATTAAATGGCACCTTCTTATGCTTTATTTTTCTTGAGTTGATTCTGAATTTAATTTTTGTTTAGGCTATTCTAGAGGTCAGCCATTTTAGAATAATAGTTTTCATTTCTTTGCTTGTGTGTTAATATGGGCCCCTTTCTCTCTTTCTCACTCTGTTTTCTCAACATTTTGGTGGAAGGGCTTCTCATTTGCTGTTACTCATTGCTTTGAGCATGAACACCTTCTCCTGGTAATCTCTGGCAGGACCCATAACCTCTGTAGTGGTTCCCACTGCCCTTGATCAGAGCTCCTGGCCTGAGCAGGAAATAATTTCTTTGGTCTTATTGGAGACAGGTGCAGAGTCTGTCTTATTTTTGGCCTAAAATCTGGCTCTTTTAAAAGCCCCGGCAGAGAGACATTTCCAATATAATGGAATTTCGTGTGACAGAATTTCTGCCATGACCTATAGCTTACCTTTCTCCCATTTTTGTTACATTATGAGTTTTGGGCACTCCCTGACCAGTTTCAGAGTAAAGATGATGTGGGGCATGAGGTGTTTAAGCCTTTCTGTTTCATCTTGGGCGAAGCTATCCCCAGCAACAGAGCAATGAGAAGTTCAGGGTGCCTCTTAAATGTCTGGTGTTAGGATTTTATAGCAGCTTTGCATGGTTCAGCATTTTGGCCCGTGCATGATTAGGACATTTTTAAGCCCTGTGCTGCTGTTTCTGTGTTGATACCACACAGGTGCTAAAGTTACCCCTTTTCAAGATTATTTTCATATCTGCAGATTTCTTTTTTGTTGTCTTGTCCAGGCATCATGTTTTTGGATTAAATGTTTTCTGTTTGTAAAATGGTTGGTGTGGACAGATGATAAGCCCCACTGTTACCCCTGAGGCTTGTGGACTGGGCCCAGTCGGGTGAGCGGCATGTTACATACCGACCCATCGCCTCATGTTTTGCAATAGTTAAATAGCAGACAAGTGAAGAGCTTTGAGAGAAGTGGAACATTGATACCCTTGGGTCTGCCTGATTTCTGATTTTCTTTTGTTGTCTTTAAGTGGAGGTTCATTAAGTTCAACAAATTGAGCATCTGATGTGTGCCAGGAACACAGTTGACCAGATTAACAAATGTGTTTGGTTTGTTTCATAAAAACTATTTTGTTTTTAAATGGTTTTTATTAGAAATTAAAAAATTTTTTAGTTCAAATTTTAGTTTTTAAAAATAGGTAATACAGTCACATGATGAAAGAAAATATTTGAAAGGCACAAAAGGTTAACTAGTAAATACTCCTCCAGAGGTGGTCTCTGAACTTCCAAGAGATTTTATACATCTATAAGCAAATACGTTAAACATATTCTGCACACCACCCCTTTTTGCAGAAATGGTAGTGCACTGTATACATGCTATTTGGAACCTTGCCTTTTTCACTTAATATTTCTTGGCAGTGTGAAAAGAGCTTCCACGTCATTTTTTATGAAGGCCGTCTATTTTAGATATCTGTTTTCTGTTTCTAAGGATGCTAAAAAAACAGTCTTATTTAGGCAGCAG